CAGCCGTGAAAGCCTTCGACAATACTTTAACTAGCCTGTTTTGTAAATCCAATATAGAAAAGTTATCCAGGTCATTCTTTTGATTTGCTATTTGTATATCCCTTTTAATTATTAAGACATCAGGTAGTTTCATTTGTATGTCCAGTGTAGCATCTTTTTCCATATCATTCTTGTAACCTGTCATTTTTAAATCCACTTTCAGATCAGTCTCAGCCTTGTCCAGTAAAGTTTGTTCCTCTTCCATAACATCTTTTAAACACAGTCTATCTATAATGGCAGATACTTTTAAAGTTAACTTCTGGATCTATTGTTCACAAATATCCATCAGTAGGTCCAATGTTAAAATATTTTGTTCCATTCTGTATTGGTAAGTCAAATTTAAGTGTTCTTCTCCTTTAATTGTAATCTTTAGTTCCTTCTGGTTCCCTCTAGTGTCCAACCTTCAAAATCCTGTCCTATCATGTTTTTTTTCTTAAGAATTCAAAACAACCGCATATTTCCATGGGAAGAATTCTTATAATTAATTTCAAAATCTTATATCAAATCCATCTGGACCCTTAGTCCGTTTGTAACATTCCAAAATCAATGTTTAATCACCCTTTTCCTGTTTATTTCCCAAAAAAGATTTTTTAAAGTCCTTAAACTTATATTTAAAACTTCTTTAACTACAGATTAAAGGAAACTCACCTGGTGCCATAAAACATGTCACTCCATAGGTTCCTAATAGCTGAAAAGCAGTTAAGAAGCAATTTCCAAAAGCGATTAGAAAAGGAAGTATGCAAACCTAGTGCCCATAAAGATGCCAACTGTGGTTTGAGCAAAGATGGCGATCCCTTGTCTCCGAGAGCTCTAAACCAGCTGGAGACTGTCTGGAGCCCTTGCAGATGATCTCAAGTCCTCTCCTTGTCCAGAGATGAATTACAAAGAGCCAGTCCACTCACTGGCTCTTCATTCTGCTGCAGTCACTGGCTCTACTTTTAGCAGAACTGTCTTCAGTTCACCACTTCTTCCCCAGAAGTCTAGTATATAACCAATATTTTGGTGTGATTTATAGTGGTTCTTTTTCAACATTATATTCAACTTTGGACAAAAAAGCCAAATAATTTTATGTTTGTAATATTGACACCCTAAATTGTAATTAACATTGATAATTTTTTTTCCTTTCTCTTCTCTCTTCTCAATATTCTAAGCTACCCAAATAATAGAAAGTTATTAATTTTCAATCATATTATACAAATGTCAATGTATTGATACAACACAATATATGAAGATTTATAACAATATTATAAAAAGGGGGGGAAATCTGAAATATTCACTTCCATAACTGAGAACTAAAATGTTTTCTAATAAAAGAAGCAGTGCTTTTAACATTGTAAATATTGCAGAAATACAGAATTAGCTTTGCACATTGTTGATCTAAACATTTTGGCAGTTGGGCTGCAATTAAAAATTGAGGGAAGGTGTGCAGAATAATGATGCAGAATAGGTAGATGCCATTCTTTTTATTTCCTTTTCCATATGATAGGAGGAAACTAAAAGGAGATACAGGCCCTTCTTGTGATCTAAACAGATTTGAGCTTATATTTAGGCATAGAACATGTAAAGGCATATATATGAGAGCCAGCACAGTTAAGGTATTGGGGCATGACCAGCAAGACTCAAGATCACATCTACTCTCAGTCATAGAAACTCACTGGATGATTTTGGGCCAGTTACACACTCAGCCCAACCTGCCTCACAGGATTTTTGTGTGGTGGGGGTGGGGAAAGTCTGGAGAAGAGTGTGCTATGTATACTGCTCTAAACTCCTGGAAGAAAGGCAAGATACAGAAAATAAATGTTAGGTGGGGGGAGTGGAATAGCATAGTGGAACTAGGACAAAAATTCAGGAAGAATTACTAGTCTTCCTCATAGTTTAACCAGCACAATGACTGAATAAACATAACTTAGGTCATATAATTAATGAAAGGAAGGGAAAAAGTGCTTCCAATTCCTTGGAATTCCTTAAAAGAAAATAATTCCTATCCATAGAAGTATAGAACTTCCTGAATAGCATATGAGGAGTTGAGAACTGCTAAAGGGGCATGCATCCCAACATGGACAAAATCCACTTTTCTGTCTAATCAGCTTTCTTCAGGAAGACTTTCTAATCATCTAATTAAGAAGCTTTTAGGATATGGTACAGCAAAATAGCTGCTGCTTGAAGACAGATATGAATTTTTCGGTGAACTTCAGGCCAAGGATTTTGAGTGTTTATTTTGGAAATATACGTTCTTGTATCAGTACATGCAATATTGAGATATCAAACTGTTACTTTTTAAAAATAGCCTTGAAGACTTCGATGTTGAAGAAGAAGATGAGGAAGCTCTAATAGAGCAAAGAAGATTACAGAGGCAAGCAATCGTGCAGGTTTGTTATGTTGCTAATCCTCTCCAAACCAGCCTAAAATTTTAAATAGACCTATAGGAGGAAATGTCATCTACTTTTGTTTTCTAAATTCCAGATATTATGTAGACAAGGTTGTAATTGTCACGTTTTAAAATAGTTGTGTTATTTAAAGTAGTAATGACTATGAGTGAAGTTCGTTAAAACATTCATCATGTAGGCCCTTTTTTAAAAAGATGATTTTATGGGCTGCAAAGAAGAAATATTTGTAATAAATGAAAACTAAGGAATTACTCTTAAACTTATGTAACAACTGTATGTAGAGCCATATGCCTGCCCATTATGTGTACAAATATTCAAATGGCCATGCATTTCCAAACATTTTCTGGCATAATTGGTTGTTACTGTGTATCTTCCCACATATGTGGCAGCTGAAAGAGGAAAGGAGCTAAGAAGAAACACATTGAACAAAGGGCTTGCATAGTAAATGCCAGCCTATTGCAGTCTAGAATATATTAAATGGTTTTCTTGCAGAGGTCTAGAGTTGCCTGGATGGATATTTGCTTTCATAGCGGAATCTTAATTCTTGGGAGGTTGCTCTTGAGGTTCAGGAACTCAGAAAAAATGTAGGGATATAAAATATGGCTTTCATAGAGCAGAAGAAACTGTGAATAGATTCTTTCAGAATGCTGGAGGAAATTTAAATAACATTTTTGTTTATCTCACTATCAAATGCAGTATAAATTATGGTGTTTCATTTTCTTTTTAGAAATACAAGTACTTAACTGAGGATAGTAACATGTCTGTGCCATCTGAACCAAGTAGCCCTCAAAGCAGCACTCGCAGTCGTTCAAACTCACCAGATGACATTCTTGAACGGGTAGCAGCTGATGTTAAAGAGTATGAACGAGAAAATGTGGACACTTTTGAAGCCTCAGTAAAGGCAAAGCACAACCTCATGACAGTTGAACAAAATAATGGTAATAATTAACAGAGTTTCTAATACATTTTCAGAGAAGAATTACCAATCAACAGTAAGATATTTACATCAGGACAGCTGAGCAAAGCAGTTTATGTCCTTAATTTATTACACTGTGAAATAATATTTTTGTCACTTGTAGAACTTAGCTAAATTATGACTAAAGCCACTGTTGGACTTGAGATGCTGAAGATGAAAATATATTCATCTTGATAGACTAAGTTCAAAGACTTTAAAGATTCCTGTTCAATCCTTAGCGTTATAAGTAGAGTCTACCACAGTACTGAGCAGATTTTTGTTCATGCAGTGTGATTTTCTTCTTTCACTCCCCTCCCCTTCCTGCAGCGCTCTTTTGTCCTCGGAGTGTTCTGGCTGAGAACCCCTCTGAAGCACATTTTCATGACATATAGGGTTGCAAAAGATAAGGGAATCTACTTCTTGTTTCGCTTAGCAAACTTCTTTATATCCATGGAACTGACCAATGAATTTCACCTAGACTTAATTTGATATCCCAGATGGGGATACAGTGTACATCCTATTATTTCTAAATAGCACCATGTGTTAGCATTTCAGAGTTTATCTAATAATTTAATTGTAAATAGAATGCCATGTGTTTAATATTAGGATTCCTTAGAGTTAAAGGAGAAATAGAAAATGGAATTAAATGTCCATCTCTTTTAGCTAGTATTTCAGCTCATTGTCACTCATTGTTAAATACCAAAAAAATCAAAGAGGCTGTCCCATATGCAGTGATGGATTGATTTAATGTACAGTACCTAGTTTACTGACGAGCTGTGTAAATAGAGCATCCTACTAGTTTGCAAATAACAGCTATTGCTAGTTTTAATTTTGGAACTTCTAAAAGGTGAAACTGTGGGCAATGTGTAGTTTAAACTGTAATAAAAACTGTTTGGGAGATTCATCTCTTAACTCCTATCAACCCTTGAGTTGAGTGGCACAGCTTTCTCCATTCAGAATTGTAAAATAGAGTAGCTCATCTTAAGTTTGGTGTTACATGAATACCTTATTTTTCAGTCATTTCAAACCCATAGATTTTAATTGACCACCGTGGTTGTGACAAATGTGAGGTTGTGTTTATTTTATTTATGGATTGTAATTGTGTATATGTCATTCAAGAAGATCCTAGATCAGTTGTACATTTTACAAAATTATTTCTATCTAACTTGTTTATCATTTCATTATCTTTCATTTTAAGTCTAATTATATAAATATTTGTTTTAAGGTTCATCTCAGAAGAAAATCACAGCTCCTGATATGTTTACAGAATCAGATGATATGTTTGCTGCATATTTTGACGTAGGTGCACTAATACATATATTTTATAACAGTTTTTGAAATGCAGCACTGTTGTAGTGAAACAAATGTATAAAAACCTGTTAAAACTCACTAAATTATTTTCTGAAACAGGTTAGATTGTGATTCTTTAACCATTTTTATTATAATCACCGAAGGAATTATTATGATGCTATTTCTCTTGGCATGTAAGTGGTAAATATTAAAATATTTTTAACCTTAGTGAAGTATGCACTGGTATCTTACTCTTTTAGGTCAGTAGAAGACACTTTATGTGGTAGTGAAGGTGCTTAATATTATTTATCACTAAGAGACCATTAATTTCCATTTATGTTTAAACAATATATTTTGTATTCAGATATTTAGAATGTGAGGAAAAAGCTTAAACAACTCTTTATTTCAGAGTGCACGTCTTAGAGCTGCTGGCTTTGGAAAAGACTTCAAAGAAAATCCAAATCTCAGGGACAACTGGACAGATGCTGAAGGATATTATCGTGAGTACAATTGCTGAATTTCCTTTACATTATCTGCAGAATAAAACTGGTAAATTAATGTGTTTCATTATTAAAGTGGCTTCACTCAGCATAATTAATTGGTATAAGGAGCAATCCTCCCATCAGTTCTTTTGCTTTGTTGTGGATATACAGGGTATCTTAAGTACTCAAACTGCAACTTAAATAGCTTTTCTTTTCCATCCCCCCAGGTGTTAACATAGGTGAAGTTCTAGACAAACGTTACAATGTATATGGTTACACTGGCCAAGGAGTTTTCAGTAATGTGGTTAGAGCCAGAGATATGGCAAGAGCAAACCAAGAAGTGGCTGTGAAGATCATTAGGAACAATGAACTTATGTAAGTGAGAAAGTTAAAATGTTTTAAATTTTGTATTGAACCATTTGGGAATAGTAGCAAATGTTGACAAATACTACAGAAACCCTGATCAGTAACAGCCACAGATTTGCAGTATAGTATCTATATTATATATTTAAACTGTCACATTTATCAATCATATGTACAATTAAATAAAATTAATAAACTGCAGCTGCTAGTTTTAGAAATAGACAATAGGATTTTTTTCATATGACATATCACTTCTTTAAGTCAAATGTTTTCTGTAATTTAACAAATATATGTGTGAGAATTGTTTGGCCTCATCTAAAATCTGTAATATCTGTAACATTTAAGTTATACAGTAAATGGTGAGTTAGCCATATTTTACAGGAAACATTGAAATGTTGCCTATTTCCTTGTTGTTCTTTATATATTTATATCACATTTGAAGGGAATCTCTGGCAGCTCTCTGATCTTGAAAGAGAGGATAATGCTTAAACCAGAAACAAGTGATTTCAAAATGCAACAGAAGTAAGATGGTACTAGAGGTGTGGACAAAATTGAAATTACATTTTGTTCCAAGCCTGGAGTAAATGACAACTCCTAGAAGTTTAACTGAGCCATATTGGGTCAGTTTCCGTTAGGCAAATTGAAAACTTGTTGACTTTTATGGTGGTTCTGAATTATGCCAGTACAAGTTGTGGAGGGATCCTGGCATGATTTTGCAGGGCAAATGTGGCAAAGCTGGTACACATCTCCCCTGCCAACCTCAATAGCTTCTAGTATACCATATTTCACTGACCTGCCTTCCCTTGTCTTCCAGTGTCTTCTTTCCCCTGCACCTGCATAGCTACTACCACCGCCAGTGCTGTCCTCAGTAAAGAACAGACTCTCAGTATGGCATAGCTCACTAGCTTTCCTACCCTTAATTTTCCCAGTCCTTTCCTCCCTCCTCTATCTTCCCTCAACTGCAGCCTATGCTCTTAGCCTTTCCCCCCCTCTTCTTACTCACACTGCCACCTCTACCTGGAACAGTCTGTTCTGATTGATATCCAGAATAAAGTAGTCCTATTTCTGTCTATTTTGTGGACCAAAACGTGTAAAATGCATTTTTCATCTCAGACATGTATCACCTAAAAACAGCTTCTGTGCTTGGAACAGTGTATGCCAGAACATTTTACACATCCCTAGATGTTGCTACATTTAATAGGAAAGGAATATGTAAGAAATAAAACGTTACTTCTCATAGTCTTTGCTACCCATGTATCACATATATGAGTTTCAGGGTAAAATGAAAAATGCATGCCCAGAATTTGCATTTTTATTAATTTGTCTGGATTTGAAGGGATATGAACTTTAAATTCTGAAGTCTTTAAAATATTGATGGAAAAGTATAACAGTGAAAATTATATGATTAAACAGAGAGGGAGGAGTGTTTGTTTTTCATGTTCTGTTATCATAATAAATTATCTTTTTTCAGGCAAAAAACTGGTTTAAAAGAATTGGAATTCTTGAAAAAGCTCAATGATGCAGACCCTGATGACAAATTTCATTGTCTACGTTTGTTCCGACATTTTTATCATAAGCAGCACCTCTGTTTAGTATTTGAACCACTCAGGTATGTATAAAAAAATCAAGTTAAGCCCTTTTAAAAGTATGCTTTTTAAAGGTAAAACCTCTTTGTTTATACCATACTGATTTATGAAGTTGTACATTGTTGTAATGCTTCAGAAATATTCTCCAGATTTAACGATAAGTAGTTATCACATTTGATAAACATATTTGAGGATGAGTACAAATCTATTCATGGATTCAGAGCTTAAGAGTACACATGCACTAAATTTCTGTTCAGTTTTATTTGAAGTGGGCGTTGGAGAATAACATTCTGCAGTTGCTAAGAAACACCCATACTGTAATTAATGCAAATAAGTTTTCATAATCACCCATCTGTTGCTCAGCTGCTTGGTTTTCATACAAATCCAGTTAATGAACATAGCACACCTGCTCTTTTCGATGGTCCTTAGCAAGTAATTTGAGGAATAAAAAATGCTGTGTAAATGTTTTTAAAATATATTTATGCCAAGTCATTTTTTAAAATATCCAGCAGATTATCATGAAAATGAATTTTGTGTATTATAATTTGTACTGATTTCAAAGAAGATAAAGTAAATACCTATTTATGAAATTATGTATTTATCATATTTGTATAGCCGCCCATCTCACATAGTATCCATTCATTGATTACAGTCCACCCTACCTACCAAAAGTTCCTCTTGTGGATTAATGGACCTTGCAGATCAGCATGAGATAAGTACAGAGTAGGGAAAGACATAGCAGGACTAGAGATGGAAAATTTCCAGAAAGTTTAAAGCAATAGGTAGAAAAATCTTTCCCTTGGGAAAACAAAAAAAGTAAAAAATCAAAATATGTACAATCCTTTTTTTAAAAAATCAAAATATATACATCCTTGTTAATATTTGTTACAGATACAAATCAATAAAGAAATGCTATTGCCATTGTCCATCCCATTCCCATTGTATTGAAGCTATTTTGAATAGCATTATTTTATGTATTCTGAGTTCTTCAAGTGCTATGATTTAATTTCTCTGTACAACCTCCTATGTAGCCAGTTGCAGGACTAGTTAATGTTCCTAGTATTATAGGCTTAGATTGAATGGGATGATTTGGAGCGGGAGGACAAAGCAGCGGTTATTTAAGCACAGTGCTAAAGGGTCACCGTGAACCATGTTTAGTTCGTGGAGAAAGGAGGAGGAATATTGCCATCAAAAAACTGGTAATGCTGCTGAGGTTATAACCTGTAAATGCAAAGTTTGCTTCCATTACAGGTAGTCCTCATTTAGCGACCACAGTTAGGACTGGCAACTTGGTCATTAAGCAAAGCTATCACTAAGTGAAACCGTGACTGTGCTTATGATCTTCAGCTTTCCTTTGCTTCATAGACCTGCGGAGGTTGTAAATGTGGGCATTACTCACAAAGTTACTTTTTCATCACTGTCATAACTGTGAATGGTCACTAAATGAGGCATTTAGTGCTAAACAAGGACTACCTGTACAGTGAATTGGATTGTTGGGTTGTTGGTGTATATGTAAGCTGCATATTCTCTTGTGCTCTGTCAATGCTGAGCTCCAGCATGCATCTAAAACTGGAAATGTAATTGTTAATTTTGTATAGGTTTGTTGAACTTGGCATCTGCATGTGTATTCTCCTGGGTCCTATTTTTAACCATCAGGATGCATTCAGAACTGCACATCTCTGTGGGTTTCTCAATGTTATGATTAAAAATAATTAAAAACAATTCACATGGGCAGTTTTTCTGTATGTCAGGAGTAATCAGCAAGAACTGCCACCACTTCTACAGTTTTGGCCCTGGGTGAGAAATAAAGGAGCAAAGAGCTTGTTCTGATTTCCTGTTTCTATGGCTGGAGTTCTCAAAGGACTTTTGTGCTGTCTGAATGCAGAACATTTGAACTCTTTTGAAAGTTGTTCCATCCAATAATAGCCAATGTGAGATGTTCCAGTAGAAGATTTATGGCTGTTTTGTTGTGAGCTTGAAACAAAACACATTTCCAAGTTTATTCAAATCCATATTATAATATAGTTTGTCCTCTGTTTGCAGGAATTGAAATGATATACTATGTAGAAGTCTTTCGATTATGTAGTTTTTAAAAATCATTTTTTGGAGTAAGGTATCAGTAGCAATATATTAACACTCCTTAACCATTTTATCTTTATTAGCAAATGTTTCATAATCCCATTCTTATTTTTTGTTATCATTTATCAGGAAAAAAACAAAAGAAAGGGGACACACACACTGCAGTGTATTTCCACTGTGGCTTCCTATCTCATAAAAAGGGAAGAAATTCAGTAGGAACACGTTGAATAATCAGAAATGTTTTTCTGTTCATGCAAAATATTTCTAATATATTATTTTCCAATATATTATAATTTTCACAAGTACTAATTCCTCTTTCTACCTCTTTTTTAAATTTCATCGTATCGGTTCTCAATTTAGTATGAATTTACGAGAGGTACTGAAGAAATATGGAAAAGACGTTGGTCTCCATATAAAGGCTGTGCGATCCTACAGTCAGCAGTTATTCCTGGCATTAAAACTTCTGAAAAGATGCAACATTTTGCATGCTGATATCAAACCAGACAATATTTTGGTAGGTAATACTCAGTTATAGTTCTATAGCAGTTTCTTTGAAGGAAACAGAAGTATTATATTATTTATGTTCAGTTTGAGTTTGTATGTGAATGAAAAATCTTTATCCTTCAAAATAGAATATTTTAATGTAATAACAGATATGTTACAATTGATGGTTGGTCTAAACGTAATGACTGTACTACTGAAGTTAATTAAAATAACTTGCAAGATGGTTCTTCATCAGCTGTTGCATTACACTGGGTTGCCGTGTCAGTTGCTCTCATTGCCATTGTATCATTTTTGTGGTCCCAAGACAATCTAGAGATTGCTCTTGGGAGAAAAAAGTCAATAGTGCTCTGAAAATGCTTGAAAGAATCCTTTTTTTCTACTTGGGTCATTTGATCTGGAATGATTCTCTTACAGATGCAAGTATGAGTGCGTAAGGCATGTGTTACACACCAATCATTGTTTTTATTTATTTTTTAACATGCTTGCATACTTGAAGTGTAGTTTACATGCATACATTAATATTCCACAGTGAAGAAAGCAATGACATGCATTTCTTCATATTAAAAACTGTACATATCACTTCTACCCACCCTTTGAATAGTTCTGCAAGTCAAATGCATATGAAACAACCATTCTTATTGTTCTTTGCATCTATAAAATAGGAGCATCTTCATATTAATAATTGGACAAAAAACATTTTATATATTTAAAATATCTTTTTTTAAAAAAATCTGTGGGAAGTATCTCTATCACACATTAATGTATATGTGCAGACTGAAGTTCTTAACAGTATGTTGATTAATTTATTAAAAACTGGGCCTTTCTGTGTGATCCGGGGCCTCCTCTGCATAGTTAAAACATCTTGTAGACTGAAACTAGGTAGTGGTTATGTGCAAAATGTACTGCTCCAGGAGTGGAGCATTCCAGAGAACTCCCAACTGTTTCTCCTTCAGACAGTGCCTTTCTGGGGGCAGTCCAGTGGTTTTCTAGAGATTAATCCTTCAAACCAGAAGCAGGACATAGTGTTCCAGACAAAATAATAACCTTTTCAAACATGTCCAGAACATTATAAATTGCTTCTTGTTTAGAGAATTATTTTCCAGAAAACTGCTGGATCATTCCTGGAAAAAATAAATTGGCATGGCCAAAGGAAGAACAGAATGTTTGAGTTTTGTAAAATATTCCTTTCCAGTAACCGTAGGCTTTGTACATCCCTTTTGTGCAATAAATTCATTACCAAAAAAGAGGGATTTCTACTGAAAGTCCAAAATGCTGTTCAGATGATAAGTAGAGGAGTATTTTGCCCATTGTATTTCAAAGTGGGGAAAATGTGAAATGCCTTATGGTTTGGAGTAATGCTGACTTCATTTTTTCAGTGAATTATCAAGTGAACAAATTCCAATTGTTTTTGACAGTGTTGCTATAAATTCTTCTTTAATAGGAGTTGTAGCACCTTCAGCAAGTAAGATCAATACATTGTAACACAGTCAGCTTCTCTATATTTTGACATTTATGCTTAGAATATCAAAGTAACTGGCTGGATCAGACCAAGGGGTTGTTTTGTCCATATTCTGTTTCTTAGTAGCCTATAGCAGAGCATTTAAGTGTAATGATTAGCATTCACAGTAGCATATAGTAGTGCCACTTACTACTTTTATCCATAATTATTATTTTTGCTTCTTTTAGGTGAATGAATCAAAAACCATTTTAAAACTTTGTGACTTTGGATCAGCTTCACATGTTGCTGACAATGATATCACACCGTATCTTGTTAGTCGATTTTACCGTGCTCCTGAAATTAGTAAGTTAATCTACTATGATATTTAGGTTCAGATTATTAATTAAGATTAATTTAACTTTTATTAGAGTTTTATAATAGATAACATTCTTTGATGTGAAATCAGATATGTATAATCCTTAATTAATATGAAAATGTCTATAGAAATTGGAATTTGAAGTTAAGATTACAGCTGAATGGGAAGGTAGAGGCCACCTACAAAATCTCATGGTCTTGGGGTTTAGCCAGCTTAATCTTTTTAAGTCCTCAGCTTTCTTCTTTGTTGAGAACTATGCCACTGCTCTTGCTTTTTTCTAAGATCCTTAGTTTGTTCTTCCCAATCTTTCTTTCTCTTGGTTGGTTCTCTTCTCACAACCTGGTTCATCTATCCTTTTTGGTCCTTGTTTCTGTCCACTGGAGAAGTCCCTGCTTCATCTCTTGTATGTTTATCTGCCTGACAAATGAGGAATTTGAGGTGGAATTTTGCATGTGTGATAACTTAACTCTTATTGATCCTGCTTTTTCCTGACTGAATGGAAGTTAGAGGTGCACATTTGAAACAGTATAATTTGACTTAGATGTTGCTGCACTATGCCATACTATTTTACCCAGTCTCTTTCCATCTACCACTTAACACAGTTGATTTGACAAAAGTTAGCTAGTATGTCCATCAGTGATTTGTAAATGACAAAATAAGGAGGAGTTATGAGGAAAATTATAGTTTGTGGCAGGAAGACACTTACCTGAGTTGATGGCATGGAGAAATACTCTAGATATTATAATTCATGTTCTTTTCTGGCAGGCTGATCTTAGAAAAAGTAATGTTATTTATTGCAGTCTGTTTAATATGATCAATAGTTTGAACTCTAAAATTGTTCTCCTTCAGTTATAGGCAAAATCTATGACTACGGTATAGATATGTGGTCTGTAGGCTGTACATTGTATGAACTTTACACAGGGAAAATATTATTTCCTGGGAAAACCAATAATCATATGTTGAAACTTGCTATGGACCTCAAAGGAAAGATGCCAAACAAGGTAACAAAATGAAGTCCTTATAAAAGTCAACAAAGCTAGGGGTTTTTCTTGAAGTATCCAATGTTTTCTGGAAGGGTGGGGTAGACTTGTTTTACTTTTCGGGAGCTAAATTTGTAGTGTATGACAGAATGAATAAAACTTTTTCTCATTCAAAGCTAAATAAATGTACTGAACTTCATTTTTCTATTCATCAATCACTGAAATAGCTTTCCTCTTGGGATTACTGTTTTTAGGATAAGCACTTAAACTTGCACTTTTAAAGATTTTTAATGCTGTTATTTCTAGATGATCCGAAAAGGAGTGTTCAAAGATCAGCACTTCGATCAAAACCTCAACTTTATGTACATAGAGGTAGATAAAGTAACAGAAAGGGTAAGTAAAGTATAAACAAGATTGCTGTCTTTGGCATCCTTAATTAAAATTTTGCACGAAGGCCTTATAATGTATAAGAATGTTTCATAAATAAGTGTCTTTGGTTTACAGGAAATTGTGTGATATAGTGAAGAATTCAAAATATACTAGTTTTTTGTTTGTTTTTTTATGAAGACGATAAACCTGAGCTGACCAAAAAAAAGTTGCTTGGTTTGGTTGCATTTATTCCTTACAAAATATCGTCCTGTCTTCACACTGTTAGTCTTAAAGATCTAGGTTTTTAACCCAGACGGTATGGGAGACAGAAGTAGCTAAGGCTAGTCTACAGGAAAACACACTTTATAAATCATAGGTTCCAATCCTGAAGCTCCAGAGTTGCACTTAGACTCTGAAAGCATTAACACCTAAGAAAAAAAATGTGTTAAAGTCTGGTCTGCAGCACTGATTCTATATGAGCCATAGCTCCGTAGAATAGATTTGGAGAGAGTGGAATTAAGGCATTGGTCATGTAAGGTTTAAGCAGGAAGTTACAATATTGTGAAGGTTTTGCTTTCCCCTTCCTATTCTATCAATTTACAACACTAGGATAGGACCATGTTACAGTCATTATTTGGGGGAGGTGTTTTGCTTTCAAAAGCCAAATTTCAATTCCATAGTGTGTAGTCTAGTTTCTAACTGGACTGTCCATTTCATATTCTTGATAGTTTTATTATTGTCTTGAAAATAAGTGCTGGATGCCCTTGTCTTTGTAGGAAAAAGTGACTGTGATGAGCACCATTAATCCTACAAAGGACCTACTTGCAGATTTAATTGGGTGCCAACGCCTCCCTGAAGATCAGCGCAAAAAGGTTCACCAGTTGAAGGACTTGTTGGACCAGATTCTCATGTTAGACCCAGCTAAACGGATTAGTATCAACCAGGCATTGCAGCATGCCTTCATCCAGGAGAAAATTTAAATCCAGCGAAGATGTTCAAAGGGTTTGAATAGTTAATATACAAAGACTGATGAAGTTTCACTGCAATTTATAAATGTACATATAACATATAAATAATTCCCCTGCAAAATTGAGGAAGAATGATATATTTCAATTAACACGAAGGTGGATTATTTCTTTTAGAAATGTTAGAGTAAATCTGTTTGTCTCTTATGTGAAGATTTTTTCACTGCAGAATTGTTTTAATTGCCAAGACTGCACAGGAGTACAATGTTAAAATATATGGTTGCAGTTCCTCTATATAATACATACACACATACGCGCACATGGACTATATATATAAAAAAATTCTGTTATGAAATATCAGTAAGACTGGGTGGTTGATTTTGGTTTTTAGCAAATTTGGCTTCATTTTTGTCTCTGAAAAATGGCCAGCATAAATGCTGTTTATATTACATTTTCCTAGGTGTGTGCGTGCAGGCCACAGCAGCATGCCCTTGGTGTAGTCAGTGCCGAAGGGGGTCTGTTCCTTCTTGAGCCTGCCCACAGGGATGGTCTCCTCTTTTAAAGCAGGTTTCGTACAACTTTCAGTACACTGAAGGTAAGCTAAACCATCAACATCACTGGTGTTTAAGATGTTAATTGTACTGGATCAACTGACCAATGAGAGTCAGTCACTTTGTAGCAGAATTCCCTGCATGTTTTATAAAGGATATATATATAAATATATATATTTTGTTTTCTGGCATTACAACTGTGGCATAATTCCAGCTTCTGTTTGATCATCACATTCAAAGGAAAAAAGTGGAGGAGTGTGCACTTGATGGAGAGAGCGCCTTCAGTGTACTGTTTATATTACTTTTTTTAAAATATCAACTTGCTACATGGACTTTATACCTTTTGTTAAATACAGTTCACGATGGCATAAAACCAGTACTTAAGTCATTTTCATTTACTAACAACAAATGCTGAGCTCTGATTCCAAAAGTCCTTATCTCCTCTTGGCCAGATAGAAAGCACCATAATTAAATTTTTAGCTATTTGTATGTCATTTGAAAATGTACTGCTTTATGCTAAAGGTGTTTTCATTTGTTCATTGTTTTCATTATTTGTGATCATGTTGTCTTTCAATACAGGCATAAACCTTCCACTCTTGAACAAAGCAGCTGCTTTTTAAAAGCGGTAATTGCTTCTTTACCTTTTATTTCTTTTGTAAATGAAACTTTCTTTAAGAAATGTGACTTAAAGTGTTGTCTCTTGCATAAAATAGTTGACATTCACTTATTGTAAAGTGAAGATTGTTCTGCTGCATGTAAAGTGGACCATGCAGATTTCTGTATGTTTTTGGTATGCATCATTAGATAATAAAGTCTTTTGTGAACAAGGCATTGGTAGCCCTTTTTAAAAGATTTTTGTCTCCAGTGTTGCCGACTCAGGTAAACCATAAGAAGAAATCTTCCATTTTTGATAGTCCTTTAATTAAAACAATTACTAAAAGATGTGATCCCCTGAAAGAACTTTTAGATTATTAATTATTGACAGTTCAGTGTAAATACTATCCCCAGCCCCCTGCAGATATTGTCTGCTTTCATTGTTAGGAAATTTATTCCTGTAGGTTATTGAATTAGATGCAGGTTTTAACTAATGCTTGTGCTGTTTTTCTTACTTTTCCTTTTTGATGGTGCTGAGAGAGACAAAGGAAGGCAAGTCACAGGCCACTCAACGCCTACTCCAGGGGGTCTGGTTTGCTGAGACACCATCTTCACCTTCCTAACAAGGTTATTTCTGACAGCATGTGTAGATAAACATTTAGCAACAACTTAAAAATAGTTTGTTCATCATGAAGATACCCAACTGAATCAATTAATGTTTGCCAATCCAATTTTTTTATTAAAAGCAGTTCATATAACAGATGTTTCATATGTGTTGCACGGGTGTATGAAACCACCTAAAACTTAGATGCTTTATAATATTTTCAAGTTTGTAAATAGGATTTTTAAAATCTATAAAGGCATGTACTTAAAATGAATCCATATTTAGTGGAGCCAAACGTTGTTTGCTAATGGGATGCTTCTTATGAGCTATTCCCCACTATGACAAAATAACAAGCTACAAAGGTAGTTGATAATATTATTTGTCTATTTTGAACCTCTACGCTGTCTCTCTAGTTTAATGTTACTTTAAAAGTAGTAAATGTGATTGTCAACTTACTTAAAATGTTTCTTGTTTGTGCAGGAAACAGAAAGCAACTTCACTGAAATGAAGACATATATTACTTGATAGTCTTGCACACACAGTAAAGGGGCACACTGCTTTGACAATACTATCAGCCTACCTTGCACATCTGGTGGCAGTATGACACAGATGTCATACAATTTGATGGTCTTCACCATTTGTTCATGTCCCTGCTTCCAAATAATAAAAACAGTTATCGTGGCAAGTCCAGTAGCAGCTACAACCCCCCACTTATGGCTACAAAAATTTTAAACTTTCCTAAGGAAAAACAAAGTTGCTTGTTTACTTATTCTTTGTGTTATAGGTGCCGTTCAGATGAAGATGATGGCAACCAGAAGACATGAACAAAGGTTTCTGTTCTCTAAAAGATATGCAAAACATTCTTACGTCTTTTTTTTTTTTAATTTCTTTTGTTCGCAGCTCACAGATATAGACTTCATTTACAGTTTGTCATGCTGACAATTCTTAGCATAGTATTATTGTGGTGGTGTGTTTTTGTAAAAATGTGTTGGTTTCATTTCTGGGTGATAAGATTTTTGTTGTAGTAAAACTGAGATAGGCAACTGATTGTATTTTAAATACTTTATTATGGAGCCCCCCCCCCCCC